TTGTTTATAACCAGAAGACGTGATCTCATAAAATATTATTTTCTCATCTCTATATCTGAATATTGAGTCTGATATTATTATATAATTATATAAATAAACATACCAATCGATTGAGGATTGCAACTGATATAATCACATTTCAATTAGATTTTGTCAGCAACAAAATATACCAAGCAATTTAGGCTAGCAACTAATATCCCATATGTCGATTGTCAAATAATATCAGTCAAATGAACAAGTGATAGACAAGTGCGCATTAGACATCATTAACAACCCCAAGGTGAATTCATTCGTTTAAGTTATGTAAACACTAAATATAAAAGTGTCAACAATGCACAGGACAAGTTTAATAAGTTCGAACTAAATTTCTACATTGTTAATTAGCAGCGGACACCACTATCAATTTTCTTCAAATCTGAGCATCTCATCTCTCTCTTTTTTGGTTGCTTCACCCTCTGTTAAAAAAAAGTGCACAATAGTAGTTCCTATCTTTCACTTCGATGCAAGGCGCCCTCTCGCATTTGTTGAAATACAAGTTCTAAATTTAAACGAATAATGTGATGAAGATAGGAAAAATAATGATGAATTTTTGGAATGAGAAAGAAGATCAGAAAATTTGAGGAACAGTGCCAACAAGGAGGCGGACTTGCAAGACGAAAAGAGAAGATAATGCAATCATTAAACAAAAAAGTTCAAAATTGGGGGAAAAAATTCCGGAAGGAAAAAGGTAATGAAGATGATTTTTGAAACAATAAAGACGGTTAGAGAATGGATCAAAGGTTGGGAAGGGAGAGGACTTACCAGTTGCAGAATTAGGAGAGGTTGAGAAAGGGAGACAATGATGGAATCTAAACACCAAGGATTATTATAGGTTAAATCACTAAAATGCCCTCTTTTATAATTATGAGTTTTAACTCAAAATAAATAAAAATAATAATAAAAACTACATGTCATTTGACACATAAATTTTAATAAGCTGACATGTCATTCACTCTGTTAGATTTAAGGCTATTTTAACGGTAGGAACCTCATGGTCACAATCTGAAAGTTGAGGGTGTAGAATTTAAACTTTTAAAGTTGAGGGGATTTTATGCTACTTACCCAAAGTTGAGGGTGTGTATTTTGGCCTTATTTTTAAAACCTCATATTCGTCTCGTAAAATTCAAAGGGTTAATAAAGAATCTGGTTAAAAAATTTAATAAAAATGAAAAAAAATAAATCAATTTTTTTATCTATTACGTAAAGTTTTCCAATAACACATAGTCATATATCCTTTCATTTTTTTCATATAAATTTATAATTAAATATTACATCTTTGGTTCTCAATATAAAATCTATTAACTAATTTGATTAGATTAAAAAATTTAAGTAAGTTAATTAATTATAAGAAATATAACATGTTTTTTCTCTAAACACCATAATCATCTTCTTTAATATTCTCCCTCCCTCTTTTATTTGATTATGGTTGAGAGAATATCTAAAGTGATAATTTAAGAAAAACTGATAAATATGAAAATAAGTTTTATATTTAGAATTAAAATTAGCTCAATAATTAGATCCTATATTAAGGACGGAAAGAATATTAAATATTATTATAAATTTAACACAATGAATATAAACTGTATGAGAGCGCAGTTACTGTTATGTACTTTTGATAACGAGTGTGAAGGCACATGGCTTGCTCCCATAGACTGATGAGTGATCAGTGGCCTTTGTCCTTTCTAACGGCTCGTTGTGATTCATCTCCTACAGTTAGGTCTCTCTTTTTCTTAAGCGGACGCAAGTATTTTTTTTATTAAAAATAATTTGTTTGTATTAAATATACATATATCTTTTAATAATAATTTAAATTTTGATTCACTACGTTTATAAAAACTAGTCCGCTGTAACTCAAACTAGCGCGCCAGGCTCAATTCCCCTGGCAATCTCCAACAGCAGAGGACTGAACCACTACTCCTATTGTTATCATTATTATATTACTGCCAGTCATTCTCACTCCCACAGGACGCACCTACACATCTATGTTCAGTTTTATGCTCCGTTGGTATGGGATGAGAAGTCGAGACGAAGGAAAATAGAAGGAGAGTAAGGAAAAAAGAAAGAGAAAAATATAAAAATATAAAAATATAAATATAAAAATATATCAAATTTAAAATCAAATTAAATATCAAAATAAAAAATATATTAATATTATTAATCAAATATTTGATCAAATTATTTGATAAAAGTATGTATTCGTTACTATATTTCAAAACAACAATGTTAATCTTCAAGGCGGAAAAATGAATAATTTTTTGAAATTATATATAATAAAAAATAAATAAATTATAGATCATTTTTCATTATTAATATATGCTAAAATATAATATAAAAACCAAAGATAGACGACAAGAAAAGGAAATGAGTTTCTCTTTATTTTTTCTTCCATCCAAACAAAAAATTCACTTTTCTTTTTATTTTTCTTCCCACTCTGCTTTCGTTACTCATTTTCCCTCCGTAAAAACAAAAAGAGATTTCATATATGGATATTACCGAAAATTTGTATTTGTGCTCCTAATTAACCAATCCCACCGCACGAATGCTTCTGCCCTCCCTACAGCAAATTCTAATATATATATTATTTGTTCATTAGTATAAAATGTAGTTTATAGTTTGATTTAAAATACAAATTAAATTTTATATTAAAGGTTGGAAGTAATATGTATATTTAATAAAAGTCATGTTTTTCAATTATTTTACATATAAACTTATTTTCTTGTAAAAATCTATAGGAACATTAATTTCATTATATTAACTGACTTAATTTTAATTTACAAAAGTCAACTAAAATAAAAGGCATTTTCAACAACGGTGATCCAAATACACTACACATAGGCAATCTTTAGCTGTCAACTTTTGGGGTCCTAATTGGGAAAATCACTAACAGGTCCCACAGAAGGCAATTTATTACTTTGAGGTCCCACAAAATGTCAAAATCACTGACAAGTCCCAAGGGACCTCAGAGTAATATTTTTGTTTTGTAAAATGACATTACTGCCCCTCATATTCCAGATTCACATTTGCTCTGTCATTACGATTTACAACCTCAACAGCGACTATTAACAACCTAATGAGAGGGCGTTAACAACCCTAACAGTATCCGTTAACAACTTACTTTATAGAATTATATAACCTCTACATAAGAGTAAATTATAACCAAATAATATAATACAACAACTTTAACACTAAAATGGGAAGCTTTTTGATATCATTAAGAATTTTAACTAGATCCAATAGGATTATAGTAATATTTTAATGCGAATATCCATTTACAATCTCAACAGCGATTATTAACAACCGAATGAGAGGACATTAACAACCTAAGCAGTAGCCGTTAACAACTTACTTTATAGAATTATATAACCTTCGCATAAGAGTAAATTATAACCAAATAGTATAATACAACAACTTTAATACTAAAATGGGAAGCTTTTTGATATCATTAAGAATTTTAACTAAACCCAATAGGATTATAGCAACATTTTAATGCGAAGATCCATTTACAACCTCAATGGTGAGTATTAATAACCCAAAGAGAGCTGTTGACAATCTAGGCAGTATCTATTAACAATTGACTTTATAGGATAATATAACCTCTAACAACTATATAAGATTAACTTTAAGACTATTTAGTTATAGTTTAGTTAGTTATAGTTAGAAGTTATATTATCCGATAAAGTTAGTTATTAACAGACACTGCTAAGGTTGTTAACAATTCTCCTTAGGTTATTAATACTTACTGTTGAGGTTGTAAATGGATTTTCGCATTAAAATGTTGCTATAATCCTATTGGGTTTGGTTAAAATTCTTAATAATATCAAAAAGCTTCCCATTTTAGTGTTAAAGTTGTTGTATTATACTATTTGGTTATAATTTACTCTTACGCGGAGGTTATATAATTCTATAGAGTAAGTTGTTAACGGATACTGCTTAGGTTGTTAATGCCTTCTCATTAAGTTGTTAATAGTCGCTATTGAGGTTGTAAATGGATCTTCGCATTAAAATATTACTATAATCCTATTGGATTTAGTTAAAATTCTTAATGATATCAAAAAGCTTCCCATTTTAGTGTTAAAGTTGTTGTATTATACTATTTGGTTATAATTTACTCTTATGCCGAGGTTATATAATTCTATAAAGTAAGTTGTTAACGGCTATTGCTTATGTTGTTAATGCCCTCTCATTCGGTTGTTAATATTCGCTGTTGAGATTGTAAATGGATATTCGCATTAAAATATTACTATAATCCTATTGAATCTAGTTAAAATTCTTAATGATATCAAAAAGCTTCCCATTTTAGTGTTAAAGTTGTTGTATTATATTATTTGGTTATAATTTACTCTTATGTAGAGGTTATATAATTCTATAAAGTAAGTTGTTAACGGATACTGCTAGGGTTGTTAACGCCCTCTCATTAGGTTGTTAATAGTCGCTGCTGAGGTTGTAAATCGTAATGACAGAGCAAATGTGAATCTGGAATATGAGGGGCAGTAATGTCATTTTACAAAACGAAAATATTACTCTGAGGTCCCTTGGGACCTGTCAGTGATTTTGACATTTCGTGAGACCTCAGAGTAATAAATTGCTTTCTGTGGGACCTATTAGTGATTTTCCCGTCCTAATTTGTAAACGTGTCAGGTTTTTTAATAAAAATCTCCCACTCAGAAAAGCAACTTAGCTGTCATTCAATTTTTTGGGAATGACATTTCTATTGGTCGTACCAGCTCAAACCCATGGCCATAAGTTTCAGCCGAAGCAAGTTTTTTTTTTTGATAGAGTCTGCCGAAGCAAGTTATCATTCAATTATTTCAGGGTTGTTTAATTTTGGAAACTACACGATTTCAATGCCTTATGATTATGAATTTTAAAAAAAAAATCTTTTTTATTTGTCGGGGTAAAATTGTTCCCTTAAAATCTGCTTTTGGTCGCAGTGGACATTAACTATTCCTACCTTATCATTAATGGCTTCTTCTCCGTCTTCTTCTCCACTTTGGACTCTGCAACAACAAAAGAAAGTAGCCCTAATACTATATACAGCGACGCTTTCATCATTCATTGCCAATTCTGCAGGGTGCCCCTACACCACCATCTTCAGCTTCGGCGATTCAATTACCGATACCGGAAACCTGTGTTTCAGCTTCCCACTCAGGCGCAGCTGCTCTCCTCCCTACGGAGCATCCTACTTCGGCCACCCCACCGGAAGATCCTCCGATGGCCGTCTTATCATTGACTTCATCGGTATTTTGGACTTGATCGTTCATTTTATATATACGTTTACTACTTTAACTTACTATCCTCTCACTTGTGAGACTACAAACATTATCTATTTCAACTATTTTTTTCCCCTTAATATGTGCTCTTACATCGAAATTGTTCTTGCTATGCAGCTGAGTCATTAAGTATTCCATTAGTGAAACCATATGAGAGAATTAAGAATGGTGAAGCAAGAAATTGGAAGAAAGAGGAGGGAGTGAATTTTGCTGTTTCTGGAGCAACTGCGTTGAATGCAGGTTTCTTTGAAGAGATAGGTATTCATTATGGCTTTACCAATGATTCTCTCAGAGTTCAATTGGGATGGTTCAAGGAATTGTTGCCTTCTATCTGCAATTCTTCCTCAAGTAAGTTCCTAATTTTTCATTCACATATATGTATATAAAGCATGTAATTTACTAATTTCCCTGTAATCTGTATATGGATAAAGAATGGAATAGCCAGTTAAATACACGATGAGATGGTTTGAATGCTCATCGTTATGGTGAGAATTTTCACCAACCAAAAACAATTGCAACTGTTCATATTTAAAATTTTTAAGTGATGATTTTTAAATAATAATTTTTTAAAAAAAACTAATAATTAAGAGATTATTATTATTATTATTTTAAAATCTATATTCACTAAAATATTTTTTTTTTCAAAAAGTAGAAATAAAGAAAACATAAATTCGGTGCTCATCACAACTCAATTCCGATGGAGATCAGAGTGTCCTCTTTACTTATAAAGCACATTTTTTTCTATAATTTTTTTTGGCAAAAGTGCACCTGTGATCACTCTACAAAAAAGATTTAGTTTAGTTATTTAATTTTATAATATATTCTTTCAGTACTTTAACCTTAATAGGGTTGGTTTCAAAAAAAAGATTTCGTACTAACTATTATTTTTAAAAAAAATTAAGCTTATATGTCAGTATTTATGAATATTTTATCAATATTTAAAATTTTAATGTTAATTTTTTTTAGTGAAACTAAAATTAATGTCAGAAAACTAAATTGACATCTTATAAAATTAAGGAGAAAAAAAATCTTGCGCTGACAAATGAGTACTTTTGTCTTTTTCCTTTTAATCTTCAATTGTCACCTCTAATATAAAAATCTTTTATACAAATTATAATTAAATTTCTTTTGCCAAAATTATAATTTAATTGGAAGTTTAGTTAATGTGGGTCAAATTTCCCCTGACATATTATCTGACACGGGCACTATGGGACACACAACACGTTTTAATCGTGCAGGCTGCAAGACAGTGTTTGAGAAGTCACTATTTCTGGTGGGAGAAATTGGAGTCAATGACTTCAAAACGTGTTTTTTTGAGGGAAGAAGATTAGCAGAGATCAAAACTTACGTGCCTCATGTGATTAATATGATCTCTTCAACAGTAACTGTAAGATTTTTGAATAAGCTATGCAATTGTTTCAGCTTACATAACACACACATACGTATATCTGTTTGAGTATGTATTGTATCTTACTTTTTTTTTTTTGGTCTTGAGTATAAGATTTAATTGAGGTATTTACTTTAATCTTAAATACTACCTTTAGTCTTTAATATAAGAACTAAATAAATAATTTGAAAAAATTATAAAAATTAGTTAAGTCGGTTAATTATATAACAAATATGTGTTGATTTTATAAATTATCTTATTTAATTATATGCATTGAAACTATTTTCTGATGGAAACCCTTACAATTAATAAGGATATTTTAGATAGAACATTACAAATTTTTGAGGGTTAAAGTGGATTAAAATTTTATATTTGGAATCAAATTTAATTTCTAACTTACTCTTATATTAAGGAAAAAGGTAGCATAAGACTTTAATACACAATTTGTCTTTCAAATTCATAATTTTGTTTTTCAAACTATCCCCATGGGTTGTGTATAATAAAAGGGGTTTTTAGAAAAATCAACACACATTTATAATAGTTAACTAAATTAACAAATTTTATTAATGCCCACAAATTAAGGAATTCAACATATTTTTGGCCGCAGGATTTGACAGATGTAGGGGCTCAAACGCTCATCGTTCCTGGAATTTTACCACTAGGATGTGGTGCAATCTATTTAACAAGGTTTGAGAGCAACAATGAGAAGGACTATGATGAATATGGTTGCTTGATATGGTTAAACAAGTTCATTGAATACTTCAATAAGAGGCTTCAGGCTGAATTAAATCAACTCAAAGAGCTTCATCCTCATGCCAATATCATATATGCTGATTATTATAACGCCGCATTACCACTCTATCATTCTCCCAAAAATTTGGTAATAATATTGATTCTTCTCAAATCTCAATGACAAATTGATCTGTGCTATTATAACTCTCTGATTTGTGATAATGTTATGAAATTATATATTACAGGTTTTATGGGTCTGAAAGCTTGTTGTGGAAATGGGGGGGCCTACAATGTAGATTTTACAAAATTATGTGGAGATGAAGGAGTGAAAGTTTGTGATGATCCTTCAAAGTACATAAGCTGGGATGGTATTCATTTGACAGAAGCTGCATATCGATTGATCGCAGGAGATTTATTAAAAGGATCCGATGCTGCCTCTAAATTTGATGATTTGTGCTTGAAGAAGAAAGCCTTTGAAAGTTTTAACAGCCTTTGAAAGTTTTCTACGTTTATGCAGAATCAAACTCGAGATTGCGCACTTCAGTGACCAAAGTCCCTTCTGGATATGAGTTTAATTAGATACTTGTTTTTTTTTTTTTCAAAAAGAGATAATTGACCTGTTCACTCCACAAAAATGAATTAATATTTTTTGGGTGATATCATAAAAATAGAAAGTTTGGTCAAAAAATTAAAAATAAAATAGAAAGCTATTTATTATACTCACCCCGCCCTTTGATGTCAAGGGCACTTGTGGAGGTGTCTTGGAGATTCAAAAAACAACAATACTCACATCAAGTTTTTCACATCCATTATATCAAATTTTTCAGTCATGACCATGTCTCTTATTTTTAAAATATTAATTTTTAATTAATAGCATTTAATTATAAATTTATATGAAATAAAAAAAATAACATATGGACGTGTACGGTTGAAAATTGACATAATAGATATAAAAAAAATTAACCTAAATTTTTCCAAATATAATTATTTTTGGGTTACCCGTTATTACATTTTTCCATCAATCACCATAGGAAAGGAAAAAAAAAAAAAGAATTTATAGTGTG